ATCACATCAAACATGTGGAAGCGGTCTTAAAGCGAATTGACGAATTTGGACTTCGGATTAATAAGGACAAGTCGCAGATAGCGAAAAGTAGCGTCACATTGTTGGGACATAAAGTGGGAAATGGAGAAATAAAACCATTGCCGGAGAAAATTCTTACCATAAAAAATATTGCAGTACCTAATTCGAAAAGGAAGTTGAGACAGTTCCTGGGAAGAGCGGCGTTCTACAGTCGGTTTGTCAAAAATTTCAACGAAATAGCAGCACCCTTATATAAGTTATTGAGCAGCACCAAGTTTACGTGGACTGAGACTGCCGAACAAACGTTCAACCGAATCAAAAACATGCTAGACGATCGCCAGATGACGCTTAGACTGCCTGAACCGGGAAGACTGTTTACAGTGGCCACAGACGCGAGTGATCATGGTATAGGTGCTGTGTTGAGTCAGGCTGATAGAGTGGTGGAATACGCGAGTCGCGTCCTCACACCTGCTGAACAGAAGTATTCAACCATCGAAAAGGAGTGTTTAGCGATCGTGTGGGCAGTGGAAAAATGGAGACCATACCGTTTAGGTAGACGATTTCACATTGAGACCGACCATAAACCCCTGCAGTGGTTGAAAACAGCAAGAGACCCCCGAGGGAAGTTGGCGCGATGGATGATACGCCTGCAAGAATACGATTTCAGTATCGGCCATGTTCCAGGAAAAGAAAACGTAATGGCAGATTACTTGTCAAGACCAGACATGGAAGCCGACCTGCCATTAACAGCATACGCGGTGAATAGTTTAGAGGGAGACCCATTAGAACTCGTCCGGCAGCAGAAAGCTGACCCTAACCTTCGAGAGGTAATCAGAGTGATAAAAGAGGGAGCAGACGTAGATAAACGAACAATGGACAAGGAGGTAATAACGCTGCTTCGGCAAAAGGACCGACTGAGAGTGAACTCATATGGAGTGCTGACCTGGCAGGACGATGATGAGAATTGGGTGGCGGTGATCCCGAAAGACTGGCGGCGTAAAGTGATACACGAGTGTCACCAGGTAGCACATACTGGCATCGCAAGAACGACGGACTTACTACGACAAAGTGCATACTGGCCGAGCATGAGAGACGATGTGGCTGAATACGTGTTAACCTGCCAGCAGTGTCAGCTAATGAAAAGCGATCGATACACACAACCGCCATTACAGTCAATCCCAGTAACCGCAGTCGGTGATCTATGGTCGGTTGATGTGATGGGACCGTTTCCACAGACGGCGAGCGGTAGCCAGTACCTGCTAGTGACAACGGAACATGCTACACGTTGGGTAGATGCCGTACCCATTGCAGACCATCGGGCAAAAACAGTGACCGAGGTGGTAATCCGGCATATTGTAGCGTGTCACGGAATACCGAAGATGATATTAACTGACCAGGGTCCCTGTTTTGAAAGTGACGAGTTTAAAGCCCGTTTAAAGCAGTTTGGCATCAAGAGAATACGAACTACACCATATCATCCTCAGACAAACGGGCTTACAGAGAGAAACAATCGGACGTTAAAGGAATGGTTAGCATCAAAAGGAGGAAATTGGGAGAAAGAGTTACCATTGATTTTGCTGGCACATCGTTCCTCAACACAAGGAACAACCAAGAAGTCACCTTTCTTGCTCATGTATGGCAGACAACCACGACTTCCAATGCATAATAAGACCTGGCCACAACAACAGAAGTGGACGACAACAAGGTTAAGAAAAGAGAGAAGAGAGGCAATAAGGAACGTGGAAAAGAAACAAATATCAGACACAAAGAAGGCAGAACAACAGAGGAGAACGTGGAAACCCTTTGCAGTGGGGGACCTAGTAAAGTGTAGAGAACGAAAAGGTAACATAGCAGGGGGATCAGGGTGGGGAAAGCTGGCCCCAAAATGGGAAGGACCGTATGTAATCACGGAGAGACGCGGCTCGGTCTACACGATCCGGAGAGAAGACAAGCAGAAGCGCGTAAATGCTAGTCAACTACAGAGATGGTTTCAAGATCATCATGGGTGTGAATCACGAAAAGCACCAAAGAACACAGCGGTACGGAGATCAGAAAGACTACGACAGCAACTTGTTAAAAGGGGGGACGAGTGTGGTGCGTGCTACTTATATTGATATAAGTAGCATATAACGTGAGTCAAAAGAACGTAATGGCTGCCAGCAGAAGATGGAGAAGATCAAGAAAAGAAGAGCGAGAAAACAATGGAATTTGTAAGAAATCGCATGAGCAATGAAATGCGAGACAATGGATTGATGTTTGCAACAGCAACAGCCCGGTTTGATATGATAGAATGATATTTTGCAAATTAACGATTTACTATATGGTTTTTCTATTTTACCAAGTAATTCTGTAATTTGTCCTAAATACAATTTAACTGTCCTCACCCGTGTTCTTCTTCACTACACTATGATATTAGTACTGCTCTAACAATAGACCTAATCCTAAAATTGTAGATTTGTCATGATATAACTGCCTAATCTATAAGATCTTACGTGGAAGTCACATCATCGACTACACCAACTCACCGTATCGTAACAACTACCAATACATGATGAAAAACAAGCTTAGGCTAGAGAAAGAACAATATATTTAATATGAATAGGAGATATAAGATAACATTCAGCAGGGACCACGCGTGCATGGCCGAGCCATGCCACTCGATCAACCCCAGTCCATTTAATTCATAGTTCGCGCCTTCTCGATGTTAGGTATTTATCCGCGTTAAATATTGAATATCTATTTTCTGAGTAGTCTCGTGTTCAGCTTTGCGGATTGTGCGGTTATTATTCAATGCCACTACAAACCTTTACCCACTAGAGTGCAGACGTCTTAGAGGTGAACTAATGACTTGTAGCATCCTAAACACTTCTAGGCATCCCCTTAAACACCTAAATAAGCTTAGTCCCAACACAAAACGTAGGAGTAACACGCAGAACTGATGTAATAGCACAGTAGAACGGACTGCAGGCACACTTTTTACTCCTTGGGAGTAGTCCAAATGGTTCAAATGGTTGTGGACGGAATAGAAGAAGCTTCCGCTTAACAGGCTTCCATGTCTAGTAGCAGGGGATCACCAAATCCTCCAGGCAAAAACCTAGGTATGTTAACAATAAAAGAAGAAAAGAAATTAGTAAATCATAGTGTGATGCTATCCTTAGTCCTTAAGAATAGATCAAGTTGCCTCTTGAAGGACTGCTGAGAAGTCGCTTGGACTAGCTCGCGCGGCAGCGAATTTCAGCATTTGACAACTCTTAGGAACTAGAAGTTTTGTCTACAGTCCGTTCTGCTATGTTGTGTCTCCAGTTTTTGGGTGTTACCTTTTAGTCGAATGCTGGAATTCGCTGCAGGCTGAGCTATTCCGAGCGACTTCTCAGGAGTCCTTTAGGAGAAAACTTGATATATTCTTAAGGACTATGAACACTATCTCGATCGGATATACCAACTTGTTCTTTCTCTTTTGTCGTTAATACACCTAGGCTCTTACCTGGAGGCATGGGTGATCCACTGCTACTAGAGACAGAAGCCCGTTAAGCGAAAGCTCCTACTCCGTCCACAGCCATTTGAAACCACTTGAAAGATGCCATAGGTATTCGGAGTTTGACAGCGCATTTACATGTAACATCTTTATAATCGAAGTATGCCAACCCAGTCAAACCAAAAGTTAGAAATGAAGTGGTTCAAAAATTTATTTGGGAGGCTGTCGATATTTTGGGAAGCATTTAGTCTAAGTTGGCTAATAGTTTCAGTGAATGCGTATCATGGAGTATCGGCTAGTGATTTGGTGTGGGTGTGTAACCGAATGTCTTCAGTTAGGTGTGTCTAGTGAGACTGTGTCAGCATCAGTCTTCAGTCTTCGGTCTTCAGTAATAAGGATAGTAGGTTGATGAACCTGTGTTAATCCTGACACATTACTTTCCAGTGAAGGTCCAGCTTTTCCTTGAAAGTATTCACTGATGGGGCTGATACCACTTGTTCGGGTAAGGCGTTCCAATGATTGACTACTCGATGAGAAAAACGGGATCCCACTTTAAGTTTATTAGATCGTGGTTTATGAGCCTTCTTGCTATGACCTCGGAGATTATTAGTGCTGGAGGGAGCAAAAAGATAAGACATATTAACACCCAAATCATAATTAAAGATACGAAGACTTACAGAACTTCTTATTATGGGGATTTATTTACCTTTACAAGTTTCTAAGGATAATATCACAAGAGCCACACCTCAATGCAACAAATGATGCACTCCAAGTGGTTAAGTGAAGAGGCTGGAGACAGATCGTGAGGAACATACATTTCCCTAATTCTGCCAATTTAAAGATGAAAAACTACTGGGACGAGGTAGTTAACTATTTCATTCTTGAGACCTGTCAACTTGTAGATAAACAATTTTTTATTATTGGTCCGTATTCATATCTTCATTGACATAATCAATTCAGTCACAGAATGTATTTCCATGTACTATATTTCAAGGTCGCTTTTCATTTTCTTCCTCAGATATTCCGCGGGGTAATTCTGTACTTTAGGCGGAGGATGGATTGGGATTCGTATTACAATAGGCTAGAGGGATGGGTTAAAAAGCAATATGATGGTGTGACTAGTGTTCAAAGACGACTTGAGAATTCTCTACTTGAACAGCAAAAATATTTAAATGCAAATGCACTTGCCCTTAAAAAGTACAAACAAGAAATGGGATTATTTCAGTCTTTGTACTCTCGCAATGGTGATCCGAGCAGTTCTAGTCCACAATCAGACGGAAGACGAAGTGTGCCATGTAAGCATAATTTTCTGGTCAGTTTATTAACTTGTAGCTCGACGATACCTAATACCGCATCCTTGCCGCCGAATCGCTGCTGAATGTATTGACATTACAATAATGATGGCATTGAAATTAGTTGTATTGTATTTCATCAAGAACGACTCAAGTGTAATGTAAGACTTTGTACAAATAACTTAGTAGACATATTCAGTCAGCTGGTTAAAAATATGGGTTCGGACATCCTATCTGGGGTCCCGGAATACCGTACACTCCGACGTGCACATGGATGGGCGAAGACGGATTTCAGTGGAAAGGAATTTCAAGTTTCAAGCATTTGGAGGTCGTTATTTTTTGCTCATATCGGTGCAAGAGAAGATCTTCTGGATTTCGAAACAATTATACTGGCTGATCAGATAGGACGGTTCCTAAGTGCCCTCTTGGAGGTAAAATGTCTGGCCTTATTTTAGTCTTTTGATATTAACAGTGTGACGGTAAGTATTTACAGACTTAGGTAATGCAAAGTTCTTGGCAAGACAAGCATAATCAAAGTCTTGCATAAAACCTTTGCTTTCATCTGAATCTCAGCAAGAAACATTAGGCTTACTAAAGGTGACCGACTTTAGACTTTTATTTCAAAGTGACCTATCCTGGTGGCCGTGTTAGTCCAGTGATCGGTAGAAGCTTTTGAACAGCTTGTACTCATTTTCGTCTGATCGGAATTTATGAATAGTTAGTCCCGGGGTATAATCCAACTTATAAATTAGATTACCCGATTCTACACCACTCCCATAATTAAACTAAGTACATCAGTATACTCCGTTCTTTACACCCTACATCCTATCTTTATGATTTCATTGACCAGACTTCATGTGTTTAGTTGATTCGTAGGGGTGTAATTTAGTGACTGTAAACAGTCATACACATTAACTCCAGTTTAGAACAATGTGTGGAACACTTTAAGGAGCAGTTCTTGTGCTAATGAAGTATGGCAACGTAAACCGATGCATATATGTGCCTGGTTCTATGTTGTGGCTGACTGACTGACTTAAGGAGCAGTTCAGCTAACCACCATTTCCAAACAGCCTGAATGGAACATTGAAGTTGGCCCCCGACTAATTGAAGTTCAGAAAGCTATAGCTAATCTGAAACGAGGAAGAGCAGCTGATCCAGATGGATTGGCTCCAGAGGTCTTTAAGTCTGGTTTTCCAGTTTCAGCTATTAGGTTGACTAATATTTTGGCTAAAATCTCAGTTGGATGTAATTCAATCTGAACGGTCGCAATCACTGATTGTCCCAATATATAAGAAAACATCAAAATCGTCCTGTGACAACCATGGAGGGATTAACATTTAGAATACTAACCTCAATAATTATAGGACGCCTAACAGAGACTCGTGAACTGCAAATACGAGGAAATTAGGCTGGCTTCAGACCTGGTCTTGACTGTATCGACCACATATTCACCATTTGTCAGGTTTTAGAACACAGTCATGCTTATCGGTGTCCTACAAATGGTGATCTTTCTTGACTTACAAGCAGCATTTGACTCAGACTGAAAAATTCTGTGACGGACTGTCATTAAAAGGTGTGCCTCAGAAGTACATAAACCTTTTGAAGGCTCTTTACTCGAACACTACCAGTCGAGTCAGAGCTCATGGCGAACTGTCATCTGATTTTGCAACCTCAAATGGTGTTCATTCAGGCTGTAAATTATCTCCATTCCTGTTTAATTTCATCAAAGACATGCTGATGGGAACGACGTTCTCGTCGACTGAATTTCGGGCATCGATCTACCAGGAGGTTCACTTGTCGACTTAGAATACGCTGATGACATAGTCCTGTTTAGTGAAGACGCCGATAAAATGCAGAGTGTTTTGGTAGCACTAAGCAGCAATGCCAGGATATTTGAAATGCATTTCTCCCTTTCTAAATGCAAGTTGTTGCTTCAGGACTGGCTTGCGTCAACACCTGAACTAATGATAGGAAGTGAAGTAGTCGAACGCGTTGACAACTTCACTTATCTTGGAAGTCTGACCAGCCCTAATGTGTTAGCGTCTGACGAAATCACTGCACGGATTCAGAAAGCTGATTTAGATTTTACCAACTTACGTCACCTATGGCGAAGATGAGATGTCCGTGGATCAATTAATGAATGAGTATACTATGCGGCAGTTCGTTCTGTCCTTATTTAAGGTCGCGAGACGTGGCCATTAAGAGTAGAAGATACTCGTAAGCTATTAGTATTTGACCACAGATGTCTTAGAAATATTGCTCACATCTGCTGGGATTACCGGGTAAGTAATAGTGAGGTTAGACGCAGGGTATTAGGGAATGATGGTAAATCAGTTGATGAGGTTGTGAATCTTCATCAACTGAGATGGTTGGGCCACGTGTTACGTATGCCTGGACACTGGTTACCACGACACGCAATGTTGACTAGTGTTGGGGATGATTGGAAGAACGTTAGGAGTGGCCAAACCAAAACGTGGCATCAGTGCTTGAAGTCACTAACTTCTGGTCTGAGTCATGTTGGTAGATGCAGACTACTTGTTTGGTGGCCGCGCGACTATCGTAACCAGTGGTTGGAGCTTCTGGATGACATGGCTGAGAATCGATCCCAATGGCGTAGGTGTATAAAATCTCTGTATGCCCTTAAACTGTGAGATTAGAATTACTTTATACCTTTCTTTCTATCAACTAATTTTTCTCCTGTATTATGTCCTTATTACACAATTTTTTAATATATTACTTTCATTGAAGTGACGACTTTTATGAATTGGGTGATCTTATTGTGCTAATGAGGTATGGCAACTTGGACCGATGCATATATGTACCTGGTCCTATGTTGTAGCTGACTGACTGATTATTAATTCCCACTCACTGCGATTATATTTGGTATGACAACGTTACCGATATTAATTTTTGCTAGGTCGCATATTGTTTTGTATCTGATTTAAAATAAAATTGAGATGTCTGTATACAGCTAGTGAAAATTAGTATCCTTTGAGTGTTAATTATGAGCCTACGCTTGTTTTGTGCAGGCAATTCTAATCAGGCGTTCAATTTTTGGATCTGATCCTGGAGGTGCAACTCTTGGGAAGTGGTTAATGAATCTTAAGGTTGTTTCGTGTGAAGAAATTATACCTTTTCCAGATGTCGTTGAAGTCGTTCCAGGAGCTGATCTGGGGATTATTCGGTGAGTTTTGTTTGTTTTATTTTGACAGTAGTTAGCTGTATTTACTGTTGGCAATAACAGATACGGAGCTAGGGGTAGGGAAATCAGAATATATCATCAAATCACTAAGTGATAGACTGCTGTGTCGGTTAACGCTCATCAATGTGCTGGGGTCCGGTCAATACTTGTAATCAATGGTTGGAATCGTTGAATATTATTGCCCAAAACCTGTTACAGTGATCCATATGTATTCATTTCCGATGTCCTGGGTCTTAAGTAAAAATTCATCTCTAATTCTTTATTCTTCGATCTCTATCGTTCTTTCCGGACTATATTTATCAATTTTAGGTCTCTCTTGTGGTTGAGATCAACTTGTTCTTTTTTATTCTTGGTAATTTCCTCTCGTCATACTGATGTCAGGTGTGGTAAATAAAAAGACTTTGGTTTGAGCAACACCCTAAATGTGGTAACCAATGGTACTGACAGGTCTCCCAAACGAAAGTAGATGGAGCAAAGTTAGAACATGAGATTTAGTGACTGAAAGTCGAACACCCGGACCACTGAGGCACATCAAACTGGACTGATGAAAATTCTCGCCAGTTTCTACATTGGTACTAATTGAATGGTTGAGTAGCGTCTTTCTAGACTGTAGCATCATTAGAATATACTATTCTCAGCCTAAAATAGTGAACAACTATCTAGGAATTGGGATTTATTTACACAAAAATTGCGCGATAAACTGACTACGCATTTGGTTATCGAAAACAGTTTATTTTCAACTTGAATTTACTCGATAGTCTTTAGTCTGTTCTTAATATCAAGTTTGATGTTGAACGTTGTTACCGATTTTAAGTTCAACACCTAAAATTTTCACTTATATATATATATATATATATATTGAGAGAGAGAGAGAGAGTTAGGGTTTCATCGTTAGGTTTATGTACACAAGTCTTGTTTTGTCAGTATGTTGTTGAGGTGAAGTTGTAAGTAAATATAATCACTTTTCTCAAATGGATTAATACTAACAAGTCATTTCCAAAGGGTTCGACTGTATGTAGCTGTTCATATTTAAACTGATACTGAAATCACATGCCTTTGGGGCTATACACAACACAGTATATTTTCTGAGAGGCGTAGTATGGCTCAAAGCTAAGTAACGAAGAAATAGTAGTACACAGGAATTAGTAAATACCGAGAACCACAATCTTTTATGTTGTTTGTTGAAAAATCTATAAACTGAAGAAAAACAATTAAAGTAATAATAAGGATTTGAAGTTTAATCCAAATTAGATAATGCCTAATCTACATTTTACAATATAGTTTTTAATATTGAATCTTGGTGGTGATTCAGTATGAAATTCTCTAATAGTATTTCCTTAAAAACAAATTTATTCTATTTATTTTAATAGAGCACTTGTACGTTCGCTGTTGAAAAGTACAAGCTTTCTCACGTTCTTCTCATTCGTTTGTATGATGGTATTTCAATATCATCGATGTACATATGATATTATTGCTGGAACTTTAGTTGTACAACCTATTACACCAACAACTAATCATCAATCAAACAGTAATAATGAACAAAGACAACAACCCCAACAACAGTGATTGGGCATAACAATGAATTTCCATGTTAAACTCGTTTAAATGCAAGTATTCATTGTAACATAAATATTTTTTGAGGTCAAATTAAAAATAAATGCAATTCTGTTCGTGTGCTCCACTTTAAACCATATAATTTTGATGGGAAGGTTTGTGTATTTCTACTACCCGTTTTCCAAAAACCGAAATACATAGCATAGCTTGGATGTTAAAATAATTCTATCTCCAGTGATTCAAGTTTGCCTAAAAAGCCGCTGCTCTTGATCAAACAAACTTACCTCTTGTCTAAGTGGAAAGATTCTAATATAAATTCAGTGTAATAATTAAAAATCATATGCTTTAATCTAATAATCGTAATTCTAATTCTGAATGGAAACATGAAAATGATAATATAACAGTGTCAACCAGAACTAATGTGGAAGTTTTGTATATTGAACTACCTGATGGACATTCAACAAAGACTAGAATCGACAGCGTAAACATGTGATAGTTAGAATTACTTCCAGTTATCTGAAGATATGTTATTTATATGGTGCAGATTATTATATCCAGAGTCTATAAGTGTTATAAATCAGATAATATTTAATAAATAATCCATTCAACTTCTATACCAAGTACGCGTTTATGTACTTTCCTTTTGCTATTCTTTTTATAAGATATTTATATCATTCTATTATGTTATTGTAGTAGATCTGGGTTCGAATTTGTAATACACTGGTTGAATGTCAAATATCTTAACTACTAACCTATTGTTTTAATAACTGCTTTATAACCCGTGACTTTTTACAGATATCTAACTTATAGATAACACAACCCTACTTTATTAAATTTTGTAAAGTAGTTATAAGTGAAGTGAAACCCCTTTAAAGTTAAGATAAATGATATTTGCCACACTTTTTGATGTGTGCCACTAAACAACATTAAATTTTGTAATATTTCGTAATTTGCGCAGGGACGTCAAAAATGAGAAATTCAGTGGTGATTCTCCAACAAATCTATTTACAGGGTTTACGTTTTTATATAAGTATGAAATATTTAAGGGTACAAAACACCTTTAAGCTATTTCAGTAATCATTATTCATAACATTAGTAACACTGATAATTTATAAAATATAAAAAGTGAAAACTGATTTCCCAGGGTCTTTGAATACTTATGAAATAGAGTAGTCGGCAATCGATTAAAGATATAGTATTAAACTAGTAAATCCTAGGAGTAAACTCACACAATTCGTGGTTCAAAATAATGTTTAGATGTAGATAGTTAGAGTAAAATATTGGGTTTAAAAAGTTACTCATGTTAACTAGTAAAGTTTTACTGTACCTAGAAAATTAAGTTAAGCAGTATACAGAAAGACGCAGTTATCAGTCACCTTAATATGTTGCTAGACGTTTAATCATCAGAATGTTAACTTACTCCGATTAATACAAAACCTTGGTAATATACCCAGAAAACGTAACGGGAGTCGTTTTGCTTATCTGTTCTAGTATGTAGAAATATAATGACATTTAGGAATGACGTGTGCAGAACATTTTCAGTCGTTCAGAAATCAAATTGATTTATTTTGTTTCTTTTTATGCGCAAATTTATTTCTCTTGTTTGCTGATAAGTAGTCTTAAAACTAGCGACTTTGTCATTATATTTTATTCTTGTTTTAGAATCTTGTGTTCCCTCCATACATCTACCCAAATGTGTAGAAAGTTAATATTGATGTAATACCACAAGCTGTATACTATATCTTCACTGCATTGTAGAAATTTGTTTACTTTTGTTCAAATCTTTTGTAAAATTTGGAAACTGAATTCATCTTTGCAATGAAAAGTTTAGTCTTATTTTTCGTAGATGTTGTATCATTCGAAGTTTATGCTTGATTCGAAATGCTTTTTTTGTAATTTTAGAAATTGGATCCAAATAATATTTATTATTTATTTATTTGAACATATAAATATTGGTACAAGGGGGCACCAAATATGTATGCGCCACACAAAACAATGAGAATGGGAAGAGAAAAAGAAGGTAAGGAGCGTAAAAAAAAAAGAACAATAACGACCACAGATTAGTGTAAGGTAGTGTAATAATAATAAAAATGGAGGAACGGAAAAGTACAATCAGGAAAAAACCTTTCAGTTAAGTAAGATGCAACCACTTTTTACGAAGAAAGTAAAAGGAGGTTACAAGTGGATCGCCACTGGCTTCTATTCTGAGCCATATCTGATAACGTCTCTAGCCACTGTGTTGCACCATCTGTAGGACCTCAGCCAAGGGGTCGTGAAGGACAAACAGGAGCCAACCCTTTGCAGCTTTCTTTTATACCACGACACCATGTCATGCACTGACCACCTCTCCGCTTTTTCCAATCAGTCCCAGAGTCGGCAAATAATGCACGACGTGGAATTCTCTGGGACGACATTCGTAGAACATGTCCAAGCCACCGAAGTCGGTGTTTCAGGATGGTGACATCGATTGCATTATCGTCTCTGTGCCCGAACACACGATGCCGAACCTCTGCATTACTGACATGGTGTTGCCACTGGATGTCAGCAATCCTTCGGAGACAACGATGATCGAACACAGAAAGTCGTCTAACGTCCTCATCTCGGAGAGGCCAGGTTTCACAAGCATAGAGCGGAACTGCTCTCACCGACGCGTTGTAGATCCGACCTTTTACAGCCAGACTGTTGGGATATTCAGAAAAATATCCCAAAAATTATCCTGTTAAGTCTAATGCTATCCTTGGACTTGAAATGGCATCATTTTCCTGCTGGTCAGTTTTTATTTCACGTGTCGCTTCCCTACTGATCAATATTTATTTAGCGTGTCATTTTCCTGTTGGCCAAATATTGTACAAATGTTATTTTCTATTTTATGGTACGTTGTGGTCTGTCTGGTTGATATATAAACCGAGTATGTTTGAAATAAATGATTCATATCGCAGAGGCTGAGACTAATGTTCTGGACTTATCTGGCAGGGCTAGGTGGAAAGCAGGACCAATCATAACTCCAGGCTGCTCATACGCGTTTATGCGTCATTGATCCGATCGATAAGTCACTGCTCTCTAATCGGCGGTCACAAGTTATAATACAGACTGACATCACAAAGGCGCCAAAAATGGCCCAGACCGGCATAAGCCGCTCTGGCTTTCACTATACGTGCATTGATCTCATCACTCACGCCACCACCACCACCTGTGCAGCAACCCAGATACACGAACTTCTCGACTACTTCTATCTGCTCACCATCCAGGGTGAGTACAGGATTGGAATCCTGCCAGTCTTGTAGGAGTACTTTGCACTTCGAAGGTGCAAAGCTCATACCATACCTACGGACATTGATTGCCAACTGATTAAGTGCGGATTGTATGGCTTGGGCATTATCGCACAGTAAGACAATATCATCCGCATACTCAAGGTCGTGAAGTCTTTCTCCAGGCAACAGATCCACACCGCCATTACTTACATCCATTAGAGCTGTTTCCAGAATGTTATCTATGGCAAGGTTGAAGAGGAATGTTGTGATTGGGCAATTCTGTCTAACCCCACTGCTTGAATGGGACAATGGAGAGAGGTGGTTGTATGCCCTCATTCTACCTGAGGTGTTTGTATGTAGAGCCTTCAGGATGTTAGTAAACTTCTCAGGCACACCCTTGTTCAATAGATAATCCCAGAGAACAGCCCTATCCAACGAATCGAAGGCAGCTCTGATGTCAAGAAGCACTACGATTGTTGGCCTTTGATGAGTATGGCGGTGTTCTAATATTTGGCGGAAGGTGAAGATATGATTAATACATCCTCGACCAGAACGAAACCCAGCCTGCTCCTCGCGAGTCAATCTTTCTCGGTTTTGAACAACCTGCGAAGTATCATGGATGCCAATAGCTTGGACGCAATCGGAAGTAGCCTTACTCCCGATAGTTGTTACAGAAACGACGTGAACTTTTTTTAAACATAGGGATAACTATCGACTCATTCCATGACGTTGGTACACTCTCTAGTTCCCAAACCTTTGTAAACAACGTCAATTCCTTAGTCAAAAAGAGCCGGAGGTAAGTCACCTGGGCAAGGTGGTTTGTAGCACTTCAAGAGTTGGAGTTCCTTGCGAATTCCCACCTTATTTGCTGGATCAGTCGTCACCGGCCATGGTGGGCTGGACAGTCTGACCGATGTTGCCGGAGCAGCAGGCCAGTTGAACTGCCCTTCGAAGAATTCCGCCCATCGTATAAGACGTCGATGGATGTTGGTTTTTAGCATCCCATCATTCTCGTAGATTGTTTCGCTCACACCAGACTTCTTTCTGCCAGTGGCTCGGGTGAGTTGGAAGAGCTTCCGGTAGTTACCAGATGTAGCTGCTGCTTCCAGCTCATTAGCACGCTTCGACCACTAGGCTTCTCGGTCCTTACGCAAGCTTTGCCCGATTTCATTACGTAACAGCCTTCGTTTGTGGTCAAACTCACGGTCACCTGGGATCGACCGACGGGCTTCGATGAGTTGTAAGGAACCAGAAGAAACCCAGTGCTTGTAAGCGGGACGTTTTGCAAACCCACAACTGACTGTACCCGCCATTTTCATGGCGTCATGCAATTGCAACCAATGCTCATCTATACTTTTCGGTGGAATGGTAGCTAGCCTAGAAGCTAGTTCGGTTCGATACTTACTAGCAACAGGAGTTGCAACCAGCTTGCTAACATCAGTCCGTTAGTGGCGGTCACTTCGTTGGCCACTGAAAAGTAAGGTAAGATTGGCGCAGACCAAGGCATGATCGGAGTCCAGATAGGTACTCCAAAAGGAACGGCAGTCTTGTACACAACCACGCCAGCGGTAGCTGATCGCGATGTGATCCATTTGAGTCCAGGCTTGGGATGCAGAGGGAGGACGCCAGGTGGCACATCGGCGATGACTGTGCCGAAAGTTAGTGCTAGCCAGAAACAGGTTGTGGTCTGTGCACAGTTGCAGTAGACGGTCCACGTTATCTGACCTGCGACCAAAGAGTCCCCATCGGCCACCTAAACGACTCTCTTCTGTGCCTAGACGCCCGACCTGAGCATTCAATTCTCCGGCTAGTACTACAATGTCTGTCGAACGCACTTTCTAGAGAAGAATAGAGTACTTGTGGTAAAACTCATTCTTGATTGCATCCGGGCTGCAGGCTGTCGGGGCATAGGCGGAGATGACGAAGAGACATCGTTCCTCACGCTGATTTCATCTCACTTTGATGGAACTCTCTAATCTAACAGCACATAACCGACTGTTAATGGGGATCCAATCAATTAGTGCTGCATAAGTGTGCGAACGTTGAAGGAAGCCAGCCTGAATGGTGTACGTGGTTTCAGAAAAACTGCTTCAGTACTCATGATCGGTGGTGACATACAATTTTCAACCGGATAGTGACTCGAGAACGTTTAGATACAGTCGAACTTCCACCATAGACGAGCTGCTGTATAAGTATAACCTGATGGAATAAAAGAGGGCGAATAATGACGTAGTAAATAATAATAATAA